GCTAATGACTCGGTGGACATATCAGCAAACGGATCTGATACGCCAAATAGTTCACAGTTGGTTGATGTTCCTGAAAATGGGTCTAACGAGCTGCATATAAAACATGCAATCCGTAATCCTCTTTGTCCAGTTAAATCCGCGCAAAGGCCTTCAGTTCATATGCTTAATTATGAAAAGTTTAAAGCATCAACAAAATATTTTTCACCACCGGATTCTCATATTGATGATGGATCTGCTTGGATTCCTAAAGTTAAACGGACACGACTTCCTATTGAATCTCGCAGAGATGATATTATTAATATTATTCGAGAAAATAAAGTAGTTGTGTTGAGTGGAAGTACAGGATGTGGCAAGGTATAAATCCGTAGGATAGTATTTATTTCATTTTTCATAATGATGTTTAACAATCTCATTTATAGTCAACCCAAGTCCCACAATACATACTAGATGATTGCCTACAACGAAATATTTCCGTTAACATAATATGTACACAACCGGTATAACACATTTTTTAGGGATGATTCAAGTAGTTAATAGCTTACAACTAAATATTTTGTTTAATTTACATTTGTCTAAGCGCCGTATCGCTGCAACTTCTCTTGCGCATCGGGTTTCTTCTGAACGGGGAACCAACCTTCGTGGGCAAGTGGGATTTCATATTGGTGGTAAAAATGGATATTCTTCGTCAACTCGATTACTATACGTCACGACGGGAATTTTGTTGGAAATGTTAAAAGCTGACCGATATTTAAAGTCTTACACTCATGTAATCATGGATGAGGTATACATTCATAAATTTCGTTTATTTTTCAACATTGGCTTTCATAGTAATATGTCGGCTTTTTTGATTCAAAGATCCATGAGCGGAATGTCGACGACGATTTAATGATGGCGCATCTTTGCGAAATTATGAGAATGAATTCATCCTTAAAATTGATCATTATGTCGGTGGGTTTGGAGTCTTTTGAGTTTAATTTTCAATTATTTACTTATACTTTATACCTGTGAACGCGCTTAGGCTACTATGAATACCAAAAAGTTTACTGAATATTTTCATGAATTTCAAATCGAGAAAGATGGTGTTATATCGAAAATCCCATGGATAGATGTACCCGCAAAGAATTTTCCAGTTGATGTGTTCTATCTGGAAGATATTTGCCAGGGCCTGGAAGTTACTGAAGCACATCAAACACTGATTATGAGTGAGCCTAAGAAACCCGCGATGATGCAAGAACGACGGGATATTTTAATAGACTGGATTATGCATTGCCATGCTACATGTTCGGCTGATGAAGCATTTTTGGTTTTCTTGCCAGGAATATCTGTCATTGCTGAAGTGGTAAGATCCAACCTTTTTTTGTTTTTTTTTGTTTTTTTTTTTTTTTAAATACAATTAACGGTGCTTGAACCGTACAGGAAGACCAATTGATGTTTCTTAATGAACAACAACGGTATGTATATACTATTTTATTGAATTTAACTGTCTAAATATGAATGTTCTATTATTGAAAACATTGTATTCGATAGATGCGGAATGGTGCTGCATGACGGGAAACCAGTTCCTTTTATGACTATTATAAAACTTCATTCTACTGTCACAATAGATGAACAATGTGTGGCCATGCAACGTCCCAAAAGTAATCACCGAAAAGTGCAGTAAAATATTATTCCTGCAAATGTTGCTTTTGTACTTTCGTTTAGGTGTGTTAAAATATTTCGATAAATGTAGATCATATTGGCAACCAATGTTGCCGAAAGTTCAATAACGGTCCCTGACGTACGAATTATATTTGATTCCTGCTTGCGCAAAGACGTGTATTATGACAAAGCCACAAGATGTTATAGTTTAAATGAGCAATGGATAAGTAAAGATTGCGCCGAACAACGACGCGGAAGGGCTGGTAGAGTAGGGCCTGGAGTGGTAATATACTAGATTACATGTATTAATATAGAATATGAATATCGTCTCCAAGTTTTTATGATTTTTTAGATTTATAGGTTTGTACCAAAAGGGTTTTATGATCAATTGTGTGAAGAAAGAACTCCAGAGATTCGAAGAACGCCGCTCAATTCCTTATTGTTAAGATGCATATATGCGAATTTTGGAGATCCTCGTACATTATTGTCCCGCTGTATAGATCCTCCTGATGATACTGCAGTTGATTACGCATTAGAAGATTTGGAAGCAACGGGAGCTGTCACCAAGTCTGTCCCAATTATTAGAGAAACAGATGACTGGGTTCAAGGAAGTATAATAACCTATGAATACGAAGTGACTAGACTTGGATCGATCCTAGCACAGCTCCCAATCGATCTTCATTCAGGACTATTAGTTGTATATGGTGCCATATTTGGGTCCTTATATGACACTATGATTATTGCAGGCAAGTATGACTCTATTGAGTTTTCTTAATAGTAATCTTTGAAAAAAAAAAAGATGGAATAATATTTCGATTTTTGTCAACAGCTATCTTACAAAATCGAGGTGTCATTGTGCAGCCACCTAATCAGGAAATAGCTATTAGTGCGGCAATGAAAAGATTCCATTTAAATTTGCCTAGTGAATATAGATTGCAAGGAGGTTCTGACTTAATATCCCACCTTCGTGCTTATTTATTTTGGGAGGAGACAACACAAAATGACAGTGAATTTAATAGGACCAATGAATTAAATTGGTGTCAACAACAGTTTATTAGTTTATACTGGATACGTGAAATTCAAGATTTAGTGATCACTATCAGAGAATCATTATCTTATCAAAATATATGTTCACCTCCAACGAAGCAAGAACGAGACAAGATACGTAGAAATCGTGTAAATAACCCACACCTTATTATACCGGATGAATTTTCAGAGTACTCAGAACTTGATTCTGAGCAATATATTGATAATGCTATTCACATTCTTGATTTGTCCAAATCAGGGGAGAGACAGGAGGATAAATTAATTCCTGAAACATCAACAGCCAATAAATTAGAGGATTATAAATTTGCTTCAAGACAGAGTACTCCTCTTTATCAAATAACTAGTAATTCACGAACTTTAAATCCTTGGATGAATGTATTTGACCGTCAATATGAGATTACTTCTAAAAAAGTTCACTTACAACGGGAACCTAACGTTTTACTTCTCACAATTTTATTGATGGCAGCATTTCATCAAAATTTATTTTTAGTCACGCCATGTAATGATACTCGCATTTTCAAAAATTGCCCCCCAGAGTTTAATCGCAATCACACAATTGAATTCTTTGCCAAAGTCCTTCCACCAAGGCAGGTATTAGTAGAAACATTTGAAAAGGATATCGGAATTATACAGAAAATGGTACATCCAGACAGTGAACCATTAAACTCTGATGGAGATTATGAATATAGTTATGTTGAATTTGCAAAACCTGCTATACCACTGTGGACCCATTCTCGATATCGGACGAGAAGAAAATCCTATCTATGTAATAATATAGAACAGCATTTACCGGATGCCGTATTTTTAGCGCCTAAATTAAAGACAGTCAAAAATGGTGTCTGGACTGATACCAATAGTGCCGCAAATGGCATAAATAATACAGGTGCAGCATCACACACAGTTGGACCCTCATTATATCTGGAAGAACAAAAAAAATTGCGATTTTCTGGCATTAATGGATGCCCTGAAACTTCCACAGCGCTTAGTCCTATCTTTCACTCCAAGTCTACCAGGGCTTATCAATCAAAAACTTCACTATTTTTTCCATTGATCATTAATGATGGTGAACACAAAAATTATGCCGTTTGTGCCGGGAAAATGATAACGGTGGATCATGGAAAGTCACACGTTGCAGAACATGTCACATGTCTTATCGGACCTCCAAATGCGACCAATAATGTCGGAGATGTGATTCTTTCAATTTTTGCAAACAAAATAATAGAACGAGAGGGCATTTGGCATGTGCATGTAAATTTGACAGAATACCCACTTTTCTATGTAAAACCTTTGGAAATCGATAAGAGATTGATTAATTCAATTAGATACTTTCTGAGGCAAGCATTATTTGAAAAAGAACCTAAGGTAGAGAGTATAAGAGATGACTATTCAAAGAAAAATATACCGTATTTACTAACTCAACAAGAAATGATTAAAGTTTGGGAACAATGTAAAATTACGCCGGATTATGCTGGAAAATTGTTGGTAGAGTCGATACTAGTTCTTTGACATTTTGGACATATATGCAAAATATTTATAACGATAAGAATTAACTAATTCATACTTAATAAAAATCACGTGTAGAGTATAATTTTATAATTTTTACACAAAAAAGTGTGGTGTTTTGCGGAGGTCGGTTGGGTACGTGATTTAATGATCACAACAACTATTGTTGATAGCTCAACCATAGTGTTACAAATTGGAAGTTGAAAAATCGATTAGCTGGTTAATTGACAACTAATCGACTAATCAATTAGTTGCAACGAATTGACTAAAGAATTAATCGATTAGTTGCAAAGTCGATTGAAAAATTATTTACTTAATGAATTAGTTGCAACTAATAGATTAATCGATCATTTGCAATTCATCGATTAATTGATTAAAAAATAACCAACTAATCGATTGACGATTTGCAACACTAAGCTCAGTATCATATCTTTCCCTGCGTTACCGAAAATTTCACTGTCGCGTGACAGTTAAATATCGCAAAACAATATTTAAGTTCGTTTTTATTAGGGTTAGTGTTTACGATGAAGTTAAAGGTGGTTTATTATACGAAATTTTGAGAAATAAGCGATTTTTGAAAAAACGAACGTTTTGTTTTGATTTTTTGCTCGTGTAACGTTATATCAAAGCGAGACTCACTATTGGATAAGTTATGTAGATTTTCACGTGATAGGAAAATTTTGGTGGTGATCTCCGGACGGAAAAATTTTTTGTATTATACAAAATCTTTATTTGTATTATTTAAAAAATTTGTATGAATTTGTAATTAGGCCGCACAAATTTAATATCTTGGTTTTCATAACATGAAACTTTCAAACAGACCCGGCCGGCCGGCTTTTTTTTTT